ATCTGTGAGCTGCAGAAACACGGGGGAAAAAACCCATTGATTTGCAATACTTTAACTTAACAATCAATACCATCAAGACGAGTTAATCGCTTAGCGGGGGCTCTGTTGGTCTAGAGGTTAAGGTGTCTACCTCTCATTCAATAGACATCGGGTTCAAATCCGGATAGCGACGGAAAATTTTCTTCTCTAAAATGTTATCCTTTGGCATCCTTTCCTACTCTCTGTCTTCTGCTTTCGTCTCCAATTTCTGCCCCCACTCCCTCACTTCCTTTGTCACTTCCCCTGGGCTCCTGACTCTTTCTGCAGCCTTTCTACTGCTACTCCTTGGCTCCTTACTACTGCTGTCTTTTAGCGACACCCTTGATCTTATGGTAGGTAAGAACTAACAGCTAGCTTTCTCGGATAAGGGCAAGAAATCTCGGAGGTCCCGTGTGCAAGTTGCGCACGTTTAAGATCTCTTGGTGGTCCAAAATCGATAAGAAGAATAGGCTTCGGCCGCCACTTGGGCAAAATTCAAAATTCCTTACCAACTGATAATGTTTAGTGTGCCCCGCGCGCTCATGCCCACTACGGCTGGACGGGCTGATCGCCCGACTCGGATCGCCTGAAACTGAAAACAAACACGTTTGTTTTTTAGGCGACTGAGTCGGGCTATCAGCCCGATCGGCCGATCCCATCCGTAGCGGGCACCCCGTATAACGCTTATACGGGTGCCAATTGGGGGATCGGGTCGGGTCGGTTTGCTAGCTAGATCTAGGGCGTAAAGCGGCTATTGTGGCACAAACCGATCGCGCCCGACTCGTCGCCTCAAACGTCTAATACGGGGTGCCCACTACGGATGGGATCTTCCGATTGGGGCCGATCGCCCAACTCGGTCGCCTCAAAAACAAACGGAAACCCTTCGCCAAAACTCTGGCGCTCCCCCCCAAAAAACGGGAAAAGTGGAGACGTATGACAAGGCTCTCTATCACACAGCGCCCCTACGACTCTCGTGGATTGTTGGACCAATAAAAGCAGTAAGTAAGCACAATAGAAGAGTTGCGGGATGAGGAAGACAGGGAGACAGCAGAACACCACGCAATCATAAGGATGCGGGAAATGGGGATAGAGAGGGGAGAAGGAAGAAAGGAACGATTATCTCGAAAGGAAAGACTTCGCTATAATCAGACAGCCACTGGAACAATCAGTATGGATGTCAAGCACCATTTGCCGATCAGCGCGATCTTAAGATGGCGCAGAACCATATGACGATTCGCAAAAAGCGCGGCCATCTTGAGATGGGCGCGACGCGCCATCACACACAAACAAACGATTTTGCAAAGTTCACAAACAAAACTCGGCAGAATTTATTATCATTTTTTTTTAAAAAAGTGTGTGTATGTGTGGTGTGAAGTGACTTTTATCTATCTTGGGTATATACAAAAACCCCTCTCTCTCTTTCTTTGCCACTCTCGCCTCTATGTGTGTATATATAATAATATGTTGTATGTGTTTGTGTGTGTTTCCAAGCGATCCGCAGATGGTGCCATTCTTGCTTGCTTGCTTTGCACAATCTTAAGATCGCGCTGCTCTATTCATTTTCGGAAATAATCCGTAGATGGCGCGTCCATTTCGAGATGGTCGCGCTTTCTACGGATCGTCATATGGTTCTGCGCCATCTTAAGATGGCGCTGATCGGCAAATGGCGCTTGACATGACCTTGCGGGCTTTGGTGGTGGGGGGAACTGAGCACTTATGGACCAGTCAGGTGTGCAATGACGTTGCCCAGGACAGGTAATACAGGTACGGTAATAGAAGAGTTGGGCAATGAAGTAGAAAAAGGGTTCTTTTTGTCTATCTTTCAGACAGTGTTTAGATTTCAGATAATAATTCAATAATTATAATCATAATGTGAGTCTTTACATCTTTGCCTAGATACTAAATCACCAGAGATCGAGATGTACATAACAAGTTGTCTTATGAAGGATAATAATATGAGCATAAGTCTTTTTTTTTTTACTTTTTGTTTGTTTTAGTAGAGGTTTTACGTCGCTCGCAACTGCATAAGGTCATATGAGCGCCGTTGTTTTGTTTTTTTAACACTGCTGCGAATACTGATGGAAAGAATGAAAAAAAGTTAAGACTGTAAAATATTTCTTTCTGTTTGGTAAAAGTTTTGCGGCATTTGCAACACAATTAGGTCATATATGGGCCGAAGATTAGAGGTGTCATAAGAGTATAAGGACGATATAATATTTTGATAGGAAAGAAGGAGCAAACCACACCAGAGCACATGTCAACCACCCACAAAGTTCTACAGAGCTCACAAGTGCATAAGGTTATATGGACCCATGGAACACAAGTTGGTTGTTTTCATATTTGATCACTGCTCGTCTTGGTTTCACTTTCAGAATGGTTGAAGTACTGATCTTGTGGTGAGGCAATCCAGTCTGAGTCTCTTTGCCCTTTCCTCACTTTCATCATCCCACACGAACAAGTATTATTTCGTACACATACCCACATATATAAAAGCAAACAAGATGAAATAAGATAAGGCTTTATTGATCTCATAAAAAAAGAAACTCGGAGCGGCCGGGTAAAAACACACATGCACACACACATATATACTACACACACACATATATACTACACACACACATATATACTACACACACACATATATACTACACACACACATATATACTACACACACACATTTTCATACAAGAATGCACATAAACAAAAAGTTATTGGATTTTGTTGTAGTTAGTGTCTTACGGCACTCGCAACACAATAAGGTCATATAAGTGCCGAAGATTAGAGGTGTTGCAAGAGAGTAACAAACATAGAAAAGAAGGAGGGGAGATAAAGACGATAGATGTTTGATAGGAAAGAAGAAGCAAACCACACCAGAGCACCCATTGGAAGGACATACAAAATAATGTTATCAATCCACAGGACAAACACAAACCGGGAACGAGTCGCTACAAGAGAGAGCAGCAACAGCATGTAAGAGTTTAGTCACCAGAGTAGCGCTAATTCAATAAGTAAGCTAAAGTGAAAGTGTCTGATAGCACCATTATCTTCTATCTTCAGAAAAGAAATTGCTAAAAAAGAAACAATATTTTTTTCAAAATTCTTACATTTCACGTTTCACTTTCAGGTAAGCCTGTATAAAATATATGATTTATTCATAGACTGTATCAACAGCAAACCTTTGTAGTCCAACTAGTCGAAAAAGTACTGCTTGAATTCATGTATAGCGAACTTCAGGTCAAATAAATTTTAAATGTTAATTTGCACCCAGTTTAAAATTCATTTCAGACTTAAGTTTTCAAAGAGGTCGAACTAATAGATTTCTGAACCCATATTTCAAGTAAAGGTAAGCAAAAAGATCAAAATCAAATAATCTTAACTTTTCATCAACAAACCATTTATTGTTGTTACCTGGACTATTAGCAGTAGTAATGAAATAATAATTGCATAAAATAGCATATTATATACTCATTCTCTATGTGCTTTACAACCATTACTACAGGTACACCCAGCAGACACCAGAGCACTACGAAACATTCTCTACTTCCTGGAAAGCATACATAGCAAGCTGCCATTTTACAAGAGATAAAACACTAACATTCTGGAAAAATCTTTTGCTGCCTAAGGCTGGGTACCCATTCACAACTGAGTGAAGTGAGGAAAATGAATGTAAAGTGCCTTTCCCATGGGCCCAACATTGGGCCGAGATGAGTCCCTACTCGCAACTTCACGATTTCTGAGTCCGGTAGCCAAATTGCCATCACTAGACTACCAACACCACAAATAGAAGCTCAAGTGTGACCCAAAAATACCAAACCAAATGTCCAACTGACTCAGACAATCCAATGAGACTACTGCCATAAAATCCCAATGTATTGTACATACTTTCTCAAAGTGAATACTCGAAATTGAAATTGAAGAAGCAAACTCCTTGTACAGGAGTATTATTTCAAAGTTGTTTTCTGGAAATCCTTACTACTAAAACGTATGGGGACTAATTTGAAGTTGAACACAGTTCCCATATCTCCAAAGCTTTTCGATAAACATTTCCCATAAATATATATACTAACTGACACAGATATTGATAACACTCCACAAGGTAACTTTTTATCTCCGAGGGGGACAAACCCACTATTCCGGAACCCTTTTTTGGTATGAAATCTAAAAATAACGAAAACTTCACTAAACTGGTCATTAAATCAAAACAAGTGAACTAATTTTGATAGTTCTTTATCTTATGACTAAAGTCCCGATAAAAGACACTTGTTTTTGGCAATTGCTGAACAGTGAATTGATGCCGAAGTCGTCGTAAAGGAATGTACCCAAGCCGTTTCTGACCGTGAGCCGATGGGAGAGGCTTGCCGGAGATAAAGTGTTAAAAGACTTTTGACCACAGCGACTCGTGCCCCATAATGCCCTTCCCCAACACCTTTAACCGCTCAAGCCGATGGTATAAAAAGGGTAAGTACAGAAAGGGCAAAGTTAGCAAAACATCTAATACAATTTAAAAAGCATGTTCATAATATTATTATCATTATTATTCTGTAATATGAAACACTTATATTGCAAATCATAAGGGGCAAAAGGAATGAAATATCACATGTAACTATTGAATGATATAACAGTTACCCAGGTCTGCATATATTGCAGGATGGAGGGTGAAAAGTTTCACTTTTTAGGATTAAAATTAAGGCAAGAAGAATGACAAACTTTTTCGAAGATATAGGCCTACGAGTCTAATCACAATATTTGCAATTGAATTTGACTCCAACACTACTCACTTGTAATTTAAAGGCAAAGTCACTTTCCAGATCTATACATGATCACTCATTGATTAAAAAAGAAAGTATCGTAATATGTGCGGACTTTGACCCTTCAAACTCCATGGGCCTACATGAATAAAACATTTTCACACTTGGATAGATACGTAAGTCTTTGTCCCAAATTTGCATTTAAAAAATCAAAACACTACACAAGACATGAAGAATTTTGCAGATCAAGTACAACTGATTGAGAAAAAATAAAGCACAGAAGCGTCTTTAACTGAATTTGCTACAAATTAACAGTAAGAACATAGTCATGAGATTTGAATTAGATCTGGTTTAAAAGCAAAGGTATAAAATAAAAGTATACAAGAGAACTAGCACTGATTGTCAGCGGTCACATTTCTCAATCACAGATTTCTGTATAAGGAGAGAAGCACTTGAGTGGAAAATAATCTTATTAAAATTGCCAGCTGCTAGATTCGTTTACAAAGGATTACTTGAATTAAAACTCTTCAAGTGATTCAACCACATGTTTTCAATCAATACAAAAATTCTATTGGCCATACAGGCCTATCCAAAATGTAACGCTACATTACTGCAATCTTCACAGTCAGTGGAATAAAATTCTAACAGTAATTTACTGCTCAAACAAAACTTATGATACACATTATCTTACAACAAAATTATCTGGTAAAATTTTCGAAGGGATCCTGACAGCTGTACTGAATGTAAACATATGGACAAAGTGCATGTTAATGAGATGCACACCACACACAAGAGAATGCATTTCAAATATATGCGCATCACTGGTTTAGTATCATACAGGAAACTTTTTTTTTTTAAAAGAGTGAGCAGTAACATTCAAATCTCTCAGCTGTATCTCACATGAATTTAAAAAACAAATTTTTTAAGGGTAAACGTGAGAACACAGACTCAGTCATTTGTTATTACAAAAACAAAATGTGGTAAGCTCAATGTTGATTATGACCTGTGTATCCTAATGAAGGAAGATCTTTTTTATTGTCTGGTTTATTGGGTCCATCCAGATATGGCACATCTGTGAACGTCACTGAGCAGTTGGAGGCCGTGGAGCATGGAGCTCGCTCCAGCTCAAACAAGAACAGCTGGTTCTGTGAGGTGTGGGAGTTGAAGACAGGCTTAGGGACGTACAGGGTCACTTGGGGGCCTCTCGACGGCCAGTACCTTCCTAAATTGAAGTTGTTCACGATTGCTTGTCCCTGAAAGAGAGAGACAGAAAAAAAATAGTGAAATGTTTATTCATCTATAGACCTATATGGTCGCTTTTAGGCACAAGGGGGCTATCCCGAAAAAATGCTGTTTTGAGAAAATCAGAGGTAGAGTAAAAACTCTACCTCCGATTTTCTCAAAACAGCATTTTTTCGGGATCCTTATTCAGTTTCATTAAAAGACAGGGAGAGTTTTCTCTATAACCAAACAAACATACACACCAATGAAACCAAACTTCTCCTATACTATAGGAAGGGCAATGTCCACTCTTGGTGTAGGTCAAGATTTCTGGAAACCCACAAAATCTGGGTTAGCCCGCTTGTCCTTAAAAGCGACCATATTTGAGAGTAAGAATTTTCAGAGACTATTTGCCAACATGCATGAAATGCAAAGTCCATCACTCTCAATGTGAAGAAAAAAACGTTCTGAAGCTATGTTCAATTTTTTAGAGTAAACATTTACCCATGCATGTATCAGTGTTGTTTCAAGATAACCATTTCCAGTGAACAGAGAAAAAGTATGGTGCGTCTGTTGTCCAGAACTGAAATAGACTGTCCATGAGTGAAAGAGGAAATTATCTTATTTTATTTTAAAAGTAATCATGACACTGGTTTAAATGTAATCAAATAAAGCCTGCATGCAATTTAAAAGAGCACTTCAGATTGGAAAAAGAATTCTGTTAAAAAGAGTAAATTGTATTATCCTTCCACAGATAGAGTCTGAATTTTGATCTTCCTTTTCACATTTATTTTTCCCTTTCCAAGCTTTGTTTACAATGATGTACATAGGTCTGTTAAAACCATACATTATCACACTACCAAGGAAAATAAAATAAATTCAAATGCAATTACAGCAGTGCTAGGTGCTACAGTGAAACATTCTGTCTTCAGCAAAGGATACCATGCAGGAACAAGAAGACACATCAATGATGCCTCACCTAAAAGCTGCTACAGGAGCATTGCCTGACATTCTTTGTGAACCTCCACAGAATATATATATATATATCAACTAACTGTACGGCATTCTGGGTCACCTTGCACTGATAAACGGAATACCTAAGTTTGAAAATAAAATTCCTCACGTGAAATACGTAGTTGGTGGCCTGAAGAGGCACGTCTATCGAAACTTTGAATGCAAAGAAAAGTAATAATCTTTCAGATTTGTAATCTTTTTGTTTGAAAAACCAGAACCTGAAAGGTGAACTCTTACCTTGCCCCAGGGTCTTGGATCCAAGAAGGTGTCTGTTGGCTGATTGGGTGAAGCTATGTCGACAGTACCGACGTATATTGAAGGTGTCGTCAACTTTGAGTCAGCAGAGGAGAAAGGCTGTCTTTGAGATGATCTGAAAAATCATATTCAACAATTAGATGCACTTCTTCGATCATCTCATCAAGTTTTGAACAAAAGTATATAGCTTACTACAATATTGCTCTTTATCTGGTCATGGCAAAGTCATTTCCTTTGATGCTGGGCAGTAGGTGCTATTAAACAGAGGATAGCATTAAAAACCCGTTGTTCTGCCAGCCCCACTTGAGATTACTGAAGTAAGATTGAAAAACCTATATCAGTACTCAAAGACAGAGAAAAGAGTGGAAATTATGTATGTGTAAAAAAAATGAAGCTTGGGGTGTTATGGAAAAAAAAAAAAAAAGCAACAAGTACCTGAAGGAAATGATGACCAATATAACAGTCGACTAAAAGTTTAAAGAAAACAGCTTACCTAGACTTCATCCTAGACACAACAGTTTGGTTGATGTTTTCTATGTGGAGGGGATAGATCTGCCAGTTTGTGACAACTTTGTCACCAACCGTCACATTGGAGATAATGCCCTGTGAAAGAAACGCGTATGGTCAAACCTGCTCTAACTCCAACAGCAACCTGTCCAAGATTATCACCTGTACAAGTCACCACTTCCCACTTCCCCTTTTACATTTTTCTATAACTTTAATGACACTACTCACTGACATCCACCTGCGTAAGACAACCACTTTACTCCCAACACTGGGTTGCCATCTCGGACAATTTTGACTGTATATATTCTTAACGTAATAAATGCAGACCTCTCTTATCAATTTTATTTAATCTATGCATGACTGAATATGCATACATCTATGCATGACTGCATGTGGTTACTTGAGGGAGGCATTGCGCTGCCAAGAGCGAAATGCTCGCAGCTAAAGAGATTTGAAAACAACAACATGCATGACAGCATAATGATCTGCACAAATAAAACCCTCAAACAATAACACAAATTCAATAAACAACATTTAATGTGAGGAATTTGTGCTAATAAAACCTAAACTTCAACAGAGGCTAACATTTGATTTTGTGATCTTGTCGAGAAAGATCTGTTAAAAACAGAAACCTGCTTCAGAGATATCGGCTTAAGACAGAAACTAGTTTATGCAAACCAATACCCGTTTAATACATATCCTATTTAAAAAAAACAATTTAAGACAGGATTCTATTTAAAACAGAAACTTATTAAACAAATCGTATGTTCTGCTTAAGCAAAAGTGAAGTGGGACTTATATAACATCCACCAGACACAATTTTCTGAAAAATCTATTATTGAAGGTAAAACCTAGTTGCTGAGAGCAGAGAGAGGAACACATGGACAGAATGAGAAATACTGACTGAAAGAGACACAAACAAGAATTTTAAAAAAAAAATTATAGTAGAGGGTTTTACGGCGCTCACAACTGCATAACGTCATATGAGCGCCAAAGAGTGGGTGTCAACAGAGAAGTCTTTACAGGGAATCAGACTTACTCTGCTCACCTCTCTAGCTTCAACAGCACAAGGTCTGATTTGATTGGGTAGATGTTTTACGGCACTATCGACACAATTTTGGTCATTTAAGCGCCATGCACAAGGTCTGCTTCATACAAGAGTAACAAACATACAAAAGAAGTAGAGGAAAATGACAATAGTAAGGATTAGGAAAGAAAAAGCAGCAGTTCCCTGCTGCAGATCAGGCACAGTTAAGAGCGTGACATGAATCAGCCCATTTACAATTCTACTATGCCTGAACGAGAAATGTCCCCCCTTTGGGAATGGCCTAAAGACACTACAGTCAGTGGCACTGTCCCGGGGGGAAACAAACAAGAATGGGCATGACAGACATGGTTATTGTTATACTTATACACTGGAATGAGTGAGGAACATATGCCAAGCCTAGTGATTTTGGATCAGAATAAGTCTACCGCAAACGGGTCCAAAAGTGTTTGAAACAGAGATAACTATGAAGAATAAGAAAGATTTTATAATTATATCAAACATTGTCACAAACATGAGGGGGACAACATTGCTGGTTCATCCTTTTAACCCCTTCATGACACAGGGTCAGTTCATGCTTCACCAGGCACAGTATTGGATCCCCAGGGACACAGAGTAGTGCTAGATTTAGTGGTCAGTTTCCTATAAATAGACCCAGTTTGCAAATACTACTAATTATATATCTAAAAGGAAAAGATTTCTTTGTTCTGAAAAAAATATTCTTGAATGCGAATTTGCAATTAGTTTTACGAAATGCACCAAAAAGAAGCAGTATGCAGAATACAATCTATGATGAACGGTGTTCGTCATCATGGTCCTCAAGCTTCGCAAAGCATGATAGATGCGTACGTCACAGCAACGTCTTGGATCGCTCGCCATGTCAGAAAAAGTTACAAATGGCATACGTCATAAAGGTCACAAAGAGATTAAATATTGGAGATGAAGTGCCCATTAAAAAGTAGTCACATAGTAGTATATTCAACATACATTACCTTCAAATTAAAATTCATTCCATATCCAAAGCCTATTCTGCCTTGATTCTCCACAAGAATGTCCACAGTCTGTCCTTTAAGTCCTTTGATAGACACAGATGAAGCACCTTCCCTGTCTAATATGCCGAAAGGGACCTTTGAAAACAAATAATGAAAAACACTTAATAGTGCTACACTATATCATGACATTCCTAGCAAAAAGTACCAATTATTTCATACAAAAGTGTTTTTTTTAAAGAAACCATTATAAACTGCATTTGTCAATGTACAAGCACGCAAGTCAACTCTTAAGCAAAGACATCTGTGAAGAGAGTATGTGAAAACCTCTAGCTTGGTGAAAAGCAAGGTTTCAGTCCTGACAAATGATATTGACAAACTTCTTAAATATTGATTGGAACTAAATGACTGCAAAAATATATAGCATTAATTAATTATTTTTTTAATGCCTGTGATACATACAGTTACATCTCATAATTATCAGTATCTTCTAAATAAGTCCTGGGTATTCCTACAATTTTGTTTGATTCTATATATGCAGCATTTTGTTAAACATCGTCTTTGCTCAGCTACTTTAAAAAAACCTGAAACTGTGCATTCAAACTCAAATTAAAAATTACATAAAAACATCAGACCGCATCCCCATCCCCTCCACTCATTAAAAAAAGGAATCAAAACGACCCAACAACAATAGAAATAAAGATAAAACAAAGTGACAAATTACAACTCACACTGTTGACCATCACCATGGCTCTGTCTCTCACAGAATGGATGTTTAGAGTAACGGGTTTCTTGTAATCTTCAGTCAGAATTGAGCGGTACAGAATGAATCCGCTATACTGTTGAAACAGTAACAAAAAAAATAATATATGTACAGCTAAATGTCATTCAGAGTAAATTTATGACAACAGATTAAATGAAACTGAACGCTAACAAACTTAGAAGACAAGTCTCACACTATAGGAACATACACATCACGTTCAGAGAGAAACCACGTAAAAATCCATACTAAATGTGTTAGAAAAAACCCCTCAACAAAACAAAAGTTAGTTTTAGTAAGTGTTTTACGGCACTTGCAACACAATAAGGTCATATGAGTTCCAAAGATTAGAGGTGTTACAAGAGAGTAACAAACATAAGAAAGGAGGGGAGATAAAGACGATAGATGTTTAATAGGAAAGAAAAAGCAAACCACACCAGAGCACCTGCGAACTACCCACAAACAAAAGTTAATAAAAACATTCTCAACAACCACTGCTTTATTTTTTTTAAAGATATCGATTGCTCGGCGTAAGAATCTGTCATAAGTAACATTTCGAAAATGGTGTAGGGCGGAGTCTTACATGAAGCAGCTGATATATACTGTTTAAAAGTCTTTGCCAGCACTGTGTTACTGTGCAAAATTAGGTCAAGCTTCTCCCTCATACTGACATAAATATACATGATGGATTGAACCAAGGTTAATTTTGTTAACCCTATCCTTACGTCATGTTTTAATATTGTATTCATACGATGTGGAGAACTCTGTGCTACCACTTTCCAAACAGGAAATTTATTCGTTAATCCGATCCGTACACTTTGAATAGCAGTCTGTCAAAACGATTTTTTGAGAAATACTGATAGTTTCAAAGAGATTTTCGTACTACAAGTATTCTTAAATGTGAAGAATACAACCCCAGGAGTACCAAATGACCTCAGGGTGTAAGGATAGGGTTAAAAGTCTTTGTCAGGACCGTGTTACTGAGCAAAATTAGGTCAAGCTTCTCCCCATACTGATGGATTGAACCAAGGTTAAATTTGTCAAAGAAGTTGTGTTGTGTTTGATAATAATCAAAATTCTCACACCTTGAAAGTGGTGTCAGGTGTGGCAAGACAAGCCCTCTCAAAATGCTTTTAGTTATGGCACTCCCAACAAGAGTGGAAAATTTAAGCATAACTTTTTTCTCCCCTTTCTACAGGAGACATTCTTAAAAGGTAAGGCTTACTCATAGTCAACTTGATAAGACCTTCAGAAACATATCTTAATAAGAACTTCTGAAAGGGTTTGTGTGTCTTCATCCAGAACCCATGAATGTGTGTGTGTGTGAGTGTGTGTGAGAGAAAAGATGAGCGTTCGTGTATAAGGTTTAAAAATAAAGAGCTGAATAGAGTAGGAAAAAGAGAGAAAGCTATTGTTCAACCCTTTGAGCCTTTGCCACCGGTGGCACATAAAACTGCCCATATGCCTAGTCATCGGTACAGCGGTGAGCGAGACCCCACCTCCAAAACAGCCCAAGGACTACCCTGAGTGGGATATGGAATGTGATTCTGACGATCATATGAAAGCTTGTAACATATCACTCAGGAGCTCAAGAAAAGGGGGACGGTAGCCTCAGGAGGTCAGGGCTTAAAGGGTTAAGAAAAGAGAGAAAGAGAAAGAGAAAGAGAAAGAGAAAGAGAAAGAGAAAAGCTGTTGACCATGACCAAACATAAGTTTGGAAATAAGAAAAGATTGTCACTGTCATTGTTGTTGAAAAAGGCTCCTTAGGGACTTACAAAATTTATTTTCTCCATCGGAACTGGATACTTTGCCTTAAATGGTCCTTCAGGAGTTAAAACGTGCAACGCGTCTTGCACAGTGGATACCTGAGTTTTAAAAAATAAAAGCCACAAAAGCATAAATGATCAACTTTTTTTACCAAATCGTGAAAAATTGAAAGGTTTTGCAATAAATTAAGCCTGAGAGGTCATCATAACATTAAAAAAAGAACAAAATGAGAGCTGTCCTATTATATAAGGTTTTATTTTGAGGCAGGAGAATGGTAAAAGATACTTACGGAACTTGCGGTAATAAGAAAATACACTAGGATGTACACTTAGGAACTTTCTTCTGCATTACCACATGGTGGGTATATATACACTAAAATATAAATCGGCTGAAAAGAAAAGAAGACAAATATGTTTGACTAGTTTTTCTCATATATATGATTGATAAGTTACCAAACATACTGAAATTTACTAAACGACAGTAATAATAACAAAACACATATATAGATTTACTTACAAATTCCATTGGTATTTTTCCATATTTCGTTTTGTTGGTATTTGGAGGAATTGGTATAGGTGGCAGTTTCACATACTGGAAATGAAAACAAAGAACAAATAAGAAAATCGAAGGACAGCAGGTATAAGCTTTGGGACAGAAACATAGACTTTATCTGATGTGATGCAAACTGAAACAACTAGTTATAAAGTCACGACTAAGCATACATTAAATACGATACTAACATATCCCGAAAACTGATAGTGCAGAGCAATGAACCTTTCTTCAGTCACATCAAGTGTATGAAAACTGAGTTTTAGTCTTCATGATATTATTGAGTTGCAATTTACGGCTATTGCAAGGTAACTGACAGGACAGAAAAATACCTCATTTGTCCCATCAGTTACCAAAACTAAACACTCACAGAATTTTTTTTTTTTTAAATAAATGAATTTAATATGATTCTTGATATGTTTTTCAAATGTGCTGATTATTTAAAGTTCAAATAAATTGATTGATGTTGAATTACAGTGTTATTATCGTAGGAAAGTACTGTTCCTTGGCACAATGATAACCAAAAGGTCTTTTTTAGTAGAGTTTTTAATGGCGCTCGCAACTGCATACAGTCATATGAGCGCCAAGGGGTGGATGTCAACAGAGAAGTCCTTACAGGGAACCAGGCTTACTCTGCTCACCTCTCAAGCTTCAACAATACAAAGCCTGCTTCCACTATCAAGGCACCCCGGAAATAGCGGATCACGAGAGAGTGACAAACATACAAAAGAAGTAGAGGGGAAATGACAATAGTAAGGATTAGGAAAGAAAAAGCAGCAGTTCCTCGTTGCAGTTCAGGCATCATCATTCATATTACTGTTTTATCTGGATTTTTCTGGATTTTTTTTTTCAGCACCAAATGACCACTTTGATGTTTATTTGCTTCTGAAACAATCTCATCTACATAATTCAAAAGTCACACAAATGTTTAAGAGCAAAGAATGCAAATATATGAATAGTGAAAGTGACATCCAGACATATGTATGTCGTCAATACAAGGGATACAAGTCGTACTTTGGATATGATGTCTCTAATGGCGTAGTACTTGAGAGTGACATCACCAGCTTCGGTGAGTGGAGCATCATAGTCGTAACTGGTCGGCACCGGTTGATACGGTTTGTAGTTGGCACCTGAGTAATGACAAGAAAAAAAAAGACTTATGGAAACCCCGATTTATTGGGTTTTGTCTTTTTTTTTTTACGTGCTAAGTCATTTCAAAGGTGAAAAATTTTACCCTTTGATGGAAAATAAAGCTGAGAGGAAATTTACCACAATGATCAGGAATATTAAAACAATCATTTGGTTCCTAAATTTTAATAACATACAAAGTCTATTATTAGAGAAAAATAGTAAGAGACAGTGAAGTCAATAGCAATTCATCTCTATGAAGAAAGGGCATGAAAACATAAAGCTGAAGACAAAACAAAATTCAAATCGTTTCAAATCTTACCATTCCAAAACCCAAAGTTTGTGCCTCCAATGAACATGTACCTATGGAATTTGAGAAACATGACAATCAATATCCAGGAAAAAAAAAGAACTTCAGTATCTACATATTAAACTGATACCGATGATAGTTCACTTTTTTACGATATTTCAGATGGAACAGCACCAGAAATGGCAGACACTGGAGTCAGAACAGCACTTGTCAATACTAAAATAATAGTCTAATTAAATTCCACAGTGCACAGGAAGCACAAAAGTCTTCTAGGGCTTTGGAGCACTCGGATATCATACTTTGCTAACTAAAGGGAAAAAAGATTCCATCAACGTATTAGAATTTTGGTCGCACATAGATAGATCTAGGTTCTGTAACTACTAGAAATTTATTTATACAGAAACCAAATATCTAGGTCTATGTACTTTTTCATTTTCAGATTTACATATTTCTAAAAGAAATGCACAGCACAAATATATTACATCTGCAAAATCAAACAAGAATACTAAGTTCCAAAAAATCAGCACAGATGAATACTTCAACAGTCCTTTGAAAGAGAACTAAAGCTAAAAATTAATCAAAGTTTAAAGAATTTATAAAGAATGAGAGAAGGATGTACAAAAAACTTTATTATAGATGCTATGTCCACTGCACCATTTGTAATTTACACCATTATCATACACTTAAAGACAAAAACATCCTCTATGTTAATTCTCATTGTCACAAAAACTGTACCCTCAACAAACAAAAAAAAGAATATATATGCAATACATTGACAGCTTTCCGAACATAACAATGTACACACGGCAGTCAAATTTTTTCATCCAAATTCTATTTATCAAAACAAAACGACGATCAAAATAGTCATTTCCATGTGTATTTTATTCTATTTGAAAAGTTAGCCCCAGCACCCACTCACATGTTCACATTGGCATCGAGGGCAAGTATCTTGTCCAGACTTTTACTGACTTGCGTGGTGCCCCGTGTGGAGTGGGGAGAGCCCCAATGGTCCAGCCAGCCAGTGTAATACTCTGAGTTGATCTGAGCAAACCAAAAGGAAAGATAAAAAAGGAAAACATGTCCATAAGATTGAAGACTGACAAGTATCAACGTAAAAAAAAAAAGAGCATATATATATGTAAATGAAATTTGAACACTTGAGCGATTAAGATTCTGTCAACGGTAAATATTTGCATGTCTTAAATGAAAATAAAACAAAAGAAAAAAACCCCTAGACATATATGGAGTATGATCTTGAAGTAAGTTTCTCTGTTCTGTAAAATCAACAATTTTTATTTTACAGACATGAGATTTTGTACACATAATGACAGAAGCCAGTTTTCTATTCAACATAACAACCGTTGATCCCAATGTAGCCAGCAGCCAAACGCTGTAATCATGACAGGTCCTTGATTGTTTAATTGGTATAACATAATGCTGGACCAAAGGGCAGATGACCAAGGTTCAAATCCAAAATGGATAGTTCTAAAATTGAGGTTGTTTTTGAGTTTCGTCTTAACATGGAGGCTTTGTTAATGGTGGTGTGTGGTGGGGGGCGTTGTCCCATGCAGAGATGGATGTTAAATCCAAGATCCCACATCATAAATAAACATACAGAGCTAAAGGGAGCGTTAACGCATACCATATCTTGCAGTTAACCAACTCAAACAAAACAATGATGCACATTCCTCATGAAAAAAAATTGAATATGCACAGTGGAGCAGGTATTCATGCTTCTTGAAAAATCACACACATCAAGGAGGTGATGTATGAAAACTTAAATTTAGATTAAATTTCAGTTGATATCGGAACTTAACGACAAACACCTACCAAAGGTCCTTTTGGTTGATAAAAACGAAGTGCCTGAAAGCATGAACTTGGATCCACTGAAATGCAATAAGGGTAGGTCTTGAAATTCACACAAAAAAAACAACAAAGAACAAAGTTACACGATCATTTACTGAGTAAGTGTCAGATTTGAACAATAATCTAATCATAAGATAAAATATTAACATACTCAGAATTCTCTCTTCTTTCCACTGCAATAGAGCAATCAACCAACCATAGTCTGAACATCAGTTTGTTTTTCAACACAAATCTTCGAAAAGCCACAACGATGTGATAAACTAGGACGTTATAAGCATTGAATGTTTACAAGTTGCTATTTCTCTTCTTAACCTCGCACGAAACCACTCAAGACTTTGGAGGGGAGGTAGCCACAATACACTGGAAAATAAAGGAAGTTCAAGTGTTGCGGTTACTTCCCCTACAAAGTCTTTTCCTGTAGTCTGCACACATAAAAAATCAAACCGTGAAAAAAAATCATAAATTTGTGACTAAATTTACAACACTAAAATAGGCAAACTTATGCTCTTCTCACCTTTGTCTCCTACACACATTTACAACAGATACTTTTGCAAACCAGGATTCATTTTACTTCAACATGGTCACAAAACATGCCTTCGTGAGCATCAAGATACAAGAGGGTAAGACCCTGACACTGAACTTATAGAATGAGCAAACTGAATATTAGGCAACTGCATTAAAGCGCCTTCTAGAGTCAGCATCTACATAATACAAAATGCTGTATAAAACCTAATTAAATAGACTGGAAAACAAATCTTTTAATCAAATCAAAATTCCTGCCATAAATTGAAAAGACATAATAACTTGCCATAACATGTACTCACGGTCAGCACCAAAATCAATTGATGGGTACACTTGGTCAACTTTGCCACAAAAAACATCCCTCAAGTTGCAGCCATCGGTGGTGTAGATGACCACTTCATTGCCCAGAATGCTTGTAACTTTATCTCGCAGCATTACTCCATAGGACCTGTCACAGGCAAAGTAGCTTCCATACTCATTTTCAATCTGTGAATTGAGGGGGAAAAGTATACAAGCAAGAATGATCAAAAGAAATTTTGTGATAAAGTTCATGAAGAAATAAACATCTTATATATACATATATATATATATATATATATGCACTGTATCGGTCCAACAAATAAGCAATTCACAAAGCAGAAACAAATGCACACTCTTATTCTTTCCCTGCTCTGTTGCTTTGTTTTATCTCTCTCTTTCTGTCTCAAGCACACATTTTCAAGGCAAAATTGAAAATTATTGCAACTTGAAAAGCAAAAAAAAAAAAAGAAACTAGATGGCAACCCTCCTTGTAATGACACACAATCTATGTCAGACATAAATAGTTTCAAGTTTAAAACTTTAAAAAAAACTTTTTTTAAATTAAAAAAAGAAAAAGTAATAACTAAAAACCAGCATGAGTATGCTATCACGAACACTTTTGTGCAACATGTGGGCATTGGCATAAAATAAGGTAACATGAAAACTGAAGCTCAAAAAGAAGAGAGAAAAATTTACAAGATGAAAAATACAAGGATCTACCTGAACCATGATGACAGGCCCTCCGTTGTTGTATAGAAACGGTTTAATTGTAGTCAGTAACTCTGTAAACCACTTGTCTACCCATTTCATGTAAGCTGAAAAAAAAAAAAATTAAATTTAGAAGAAAAAAAAATTTGCATTCAGTTCCACAAAACATTGACGAGAACTATAAACGTCACAAAACTGGTCGAAAATAAGGCTCTTTTGATGATTACGAAACAAAGATCTTAGATCTGACTTTCCATTTAAGAATCATGCAGGACTACCACCTCTTACTAAATGTTTTTACATGACAACCAATATTCTGTTATCACCCCATCATCATATTCCTCGACCCCCCAAAAAAAATAAAAAAATCATGCATGAGATCATCACATGAAAGAGGAGGCCTTAAAGTCTGAAAAAGGTCTATACAACTATAAACACAAATTTGACAAGTCATTTGTAGACATATGACACATAACAAAAAACTAAAACCAGGAAAGACAACCCCCCCCCCCCCCCCCCCAATAAAAAAAGGGAAAAAATTAATTAATTATTTAAAACATTCTATGTGTATTCCTGGACATCTACTGTTGTAGAGGACAAAAACAGGTCTCAGTATACTGAGGTATTTTCATTAAAAGCAACTTTTTAAAAACCAGAATAACACTTACACGGGTCACTGGTACGAAGAATCATATTTGAATCTTTTGACAACAACCATGCTGGAAATCCTCCCTGAAAAGCACAACGAAACCATAGCAGGATATTGATTAAAAAAGCAGTATGCCACAGTTTACAACTCCGACAAAACAGAACCATGTCTTCTTTACATTAACTTGACTTCTCTTCTCTCGCAACTGCATAAGGTCATATGAGCACGACACATAAAACTTTTTTTGGTAGGAAATTTTGAATTTTGCCCACTCTAATCGGTTTTAGACAACCAAGGGATCTTTAACAGGCGAAACTTGCACACGGGCCCTTCAAGATTTTTCACCCTTGTCCGAGAAGGCTAGCTGTAGATCTTTCCTACCAGAAGATCAGGGTTGTGGCTGAAAGACAACAGTAAGAAGGAGCCAAGGAGTAGCAGTAGAAAGGCCACAGAAAGAGTCAGGAGCCCAGAGGAAGCGGCAAAGGAGGTGAGGGGTGGGGGAAGAAAGAGGAGATGAAAGCAGACAACAGAACATTACTGGAGAGCAGGAAAGGAGGTAAAAGGAGACAATTTTAAAGAAGAAAATTTTTCGGTCGCTACCCGGATTCGAACCTGTGACCTTTGAATGAGAGGCCACCACCTTAACCTCTAGGCCACGAGAGCCCCCCTTTGACTTCTCAAGCATTATCTAATTTAAAGATCCTCTGTTGATGAAGTTGGAAAAGGAAACTCATCAATGTAAAGTAAAAAGGACTACAACTATATCACCAGGGAGTGAGACATCACAAAATCTCTAAAAAAGTATATTCTATAATACAAAAAAGTACACACAAACCAGTAGAAGTATAATATGATAATTACTCCAATACATGCATTCATGCATAAAAGTCACAGAAAAGAGGGAAATGAGACAACAACAAAAAATCGAAAAAAAACCTAACACACAAAATGACACAGAACAAAACAAAAAAAAAACAAATAAAAAGAAACAAAAACATCACAGAGTAGGCCTATATACTTTATGACTTTGAAAAATTTTGATTTTGCTATCTGTCAGTTGAAACTTAGTATCAGAATTATATTTCCTATCATTTTGAACTAGTTGAGTTCTCAGTTAAACTTGGCTAGGAAATGATGTGAAGACGACTAAAACTTTCCCCACGTAATCACACACCAATAGCTCAGTGCTGAGTAGTGCAGTATGAACATTAGTGTTAACAGTCTGAATCAGTAATCAATAATATCAAAGTTATAAGAGTTCCCTCTGCCTGTGCATGATCTGAATAGATTGAAAAGGGGACAAAAATATGAAATAATTCATAGAATAAGCAACAAAAAAATTAATGACAATGTCAACCAATCATCCCTTCTTTTACTGAGAGACAAGAATATGCTTTAATATTTAATCACCGTATTGATTATAAATTTCTCTCTTTGGAACCATTTACCGGGGGTATGTTTGTACACCTCACTGCCAGTATAATGCATATATGTACACACAGAGACAAATGTCTCTTTTGGGAAGATTCAACTCACACCATGGTTATCAGAGACCATGAAAAAGAAGACAATGCCGACAAAACTTTATCTTAGCAACTTTCCTAATTAACAAGCAAGAAAACAAAGCTTAGTTTTAAGTGCAGAGAAAGAAAGTTGTACAAAGGAACTTAAAAAAGAAAAAAACCCCGCACAGACAAAAGAAATCCCCACAACCATACATGCACTTGTTTTGAAACACTGATTTGAAATTTGGAATGTGGGTGGTTGGCGGGTGCTCTGATGAGGTTTGCTTCTTCTTTCCTATCAAACATCTATCGTCCTTATATCCCCTTCTTCTTTTTTATGTTTGTTACTCTCTTGTGACACCACTAATCTTCTGGCGCTCATATGACCTTATGCAGTTGCGAGCGCCGTGAAACTTCTACTAAAACTAAAATTAACTAAATTTGGAATACCTGATAGTGATTTTGTACAAGGGCTCACTTAAGAACAGTCACTCATAAAGATAACTATACTGTAATGTATGCTTACATATTCCCACTCTCCACAAATGTAGGGTCCCAATCGAAGCAGAACAAGCATGTCCGATTCTTGAGCAAGTGAAAGAAACTTAGGGAGATCTGAAAAACCATCCCAGTAAAACTCTCCTGGTTTTGTCTCATGCACATTCCAAGGTACATAACTGTGGGAGAATGAGAAAGAGAGAGAGAAAGATAAAGTAATAACTCAGTGCATGACAAATGATTTTACCTTCATCAATTACCGCAGAAAGTTAGGCAAAGATAATCATATTATGTTAAGTACTGTAATAATTTGTCAGAATTAATTATAACAAGCCTAATTAACAGGCAGATAGAATAGAAATGTGTATAATTTTATACACACGTTTCAGAGGTTACTCTTGCCAGTGTTTTTACAATCGGAAAGAAAATATTGTAATTAATTTCGATTACAACATGATTGCAAATATGCCAAAAATATATTTCACAAGGTAATCAAAATTTTGCTTTAAAAAATTTATCCTGACATACAAGTTTACAGACATACAATCTCTTTTTATAAATTAAAGTAGAAAATTGTTTCATTAGGCTGGAAGTGCCGACTTTGAAAAATATTATACCACAAGCAGATTGAAAAGCTACAGTCGAGAGTGTCTAAAATGGCCAGCCATTGTCGAGGAGAAAAGTGGACGTCTGCCATGGTACAGTGTCATTATTATTTATGTTAAAAAAAACATAAGTAAGGAAATGGGAATGACCGTTTGTACAGGTAATTGTATTATAATCATACATGTGACTGTTAAAGGAGGTTTGACTGTATTTTCAATCTGCTATCAAGGGCAAGGGTGTGCTTTTTTGGTGAAACAGAGTCAGAATAGAGAATGACATGGGTCTCAACTTATAATTTATTTCAAATCAAAAGGAAGATGGAAATTATAAAAGAATACAAATTAAAATATGATCAGACAATATAATATACTTTCAATAATATTACAGTTGGGTGGTTAAGAGAGTGTCCTCACCCTTGAACTGTGTTCAAGCCACCTGCTCTCATTTTCATTAATCTGTCTTTCCAATAGTACGGATGAACTCTGGAATAGTGGAAACTCCCAGAGATGTATCTGAAGGGTTGTCCATCTTTCAAAAATGTGTTGTTGGCGTAGTCGATTTCAAACTTTCTTTTGTTTTCCAGCTGAAATAGATAAATAGACATATATACATTTACAATCTTATTCTTAAAAAGTGACAAGTTACGAGAATATTTTGGAATATATTTAATTTTGGAGAACAGAGAGAACTGCCAAGTCATCAATTTAACAGTTTAGCAGCACTGATTCCGAAGGCAACAATAGGGAACCATTTCTAAAAAAAACATAATTATACACGCATATTATTATAGCATCTTATTCCACACAAAAATTGTTAAAAAGGTAGCTTAATTCCTGGTCCACCAATCCATTGATTTGCAAGCACTATGAAATGTCAACAGCACGTAGTCAGATCCTGGATGCCTGATATCATGAGAAATAACATTTGACTAACTAATATGGTAAAGGCAAGGCCTCAGAGACAAAAGGGTTTAAAACCATATACACAGTCACTGTACTACTGACTATTAAAGTAGTTTAGTAACTCTACTCAAATTCTTGTGTAAGACGGCAGGATTGAACTTTGGTGGACTCACTGTGTTTACATATTAATACACACTACAAGCCATAAAACCATTGGGGGGGGGGGGGGGGGGAGGTTCAGGGGGGCCCTGGAAACAATAATAATTTTTTTTAATACACATGATAAATGCCATTTTGTTTTGCGCGGAAGTTCTCGCAAGATCTACTACTCTCCTCTCTCTCTCTGTCTCTTTCTGAATACTGTCTATCGGTGTGGACGATCAAATTGACCAAAACAAAGTTAAAAAATGATATTAAAACCCAAAAGTAAATTAATTTGGTCGTCTACAAAGATGCTAATGCTATTTAACTTTTCAAATCGAGCCGAACTACACGGGTCGCCATTTTGTTTTGCCCGGAAGTTCTCGCGCTAGGCCTACTTCTCTCTCTCTCTCTCTCTCCACTGCCCACAAACAAAATTGCACGCTTTTTGGCTAACAGTAGTAATTGAACGTTCGTTCCAGGCACAGAATTCTACAATTCTGCTATCATTGTGTAGAATTCTGTGGTTCACGGTGAACGCTACACTGGTTGGCCAAGGCTATAGACTATAACACGGTGAACGCACACCGGGTGAGAATAGCCAAAAGACTCGCCTGCGTTATTCTCACCCGGGGTGAGAATAGAGATGGCCATTTTGTATGCTAAACACGAATGGTCTTCATTTTTGCCGCAAATCAGACAATAGTTATAGAGTTATTGATTTTTGAAAATAGTTGTTGTTGTTGTTGTTGTTGTTGTTACCGATCCAGCAACATCTGGGCTCTCGCCCTTCTGTCCAGTGCCATGTAGTGATAAGTGCAGGTTTGCTGCAGTTGCTGTAATGTTCCGTAGAGTGTGTTGTCGAAGTTAGGTCTTGGAGGGAGAAGGGTAGCTCTGATGTCATTTCGGGCTGTACAGTGGAAAAGGTGATGTTCCACTGTCTCATATATGCATAGTCACACAAAGGACACATTGGGGGAAGTTCTGTTTTTATTCTGTTCAAGTGAAAGTTGAGCTGTATATTTGAAAATAGTAAAATTAACAATATGGGGGGTCATGCCCCCCTGACCTAAAAAGAATCTGGGGGGATTTCAGGGGGGCATGCCCCTCCTGCATTTCACAATGATTTGATGTTTTGGCAATGGCCACCTCTATTCTCACCCCGGGTGAGAATAGCGCAGGCGAGTCTTTTGGCTATTCTCACCCGGTAGGCGTTCACCGTTTTATAGTATAGCCTAGGCCAACCAGTTAAGTGTTTACCCTGAACCACAGAATTCTACACTCTCTCTCTCTTTAGCTATCTCTATCTTATAAAACGTTCTTCTATTACTACTGTTAGTGTTAGCCTAAAA